CAAAATGTCATCTGGATCGGGCAATAAATGCGACATGTACTTTGTTTACAAAAATACATGGACAGACGGACGGACATGCATAAATCGACTCAGAATGTGATTCTATGCAGATCATCAAAAGGAACTATGGGTCTATCTCGTTTCCTTCTGCCTGTTACAAACAAATGCACAAAGACATAATACCATGACCACCTTGTGGTGTAGGGTATAAAAAATTTTAAAAATTATGGCGTTTGATTTTGTTGCAGTTTTTTATCTCACCCTGTATATAAATAAATTGTTCAATGCTGAAGGTTTATATGTTTTTAATTTTTACACCCTCCACCATACTATTGATGGTAGACAGACAGACGGATATCCCTAATCCGACTAAGAATTTCATGCTGGTCAAGAATTTATTAACTTTGATAAATTCTTCACCATCATGAAATTCTAAGTCGGATTAGGGATGTCCGTCTGTCTGTCTATATGTCGGTTTGTATATATATTCTTATCAATCTATGTTTCGAAAGACTTGAGATATAAGGCTAAAATATTACACACATGTGTATTTTGCCAGTAGGCAGGTTTAATTCCTAAAGGCGCCATCTCGACCCACATTTTTGTATAGCCCCCATATAACGATACCTCCCAATATTCATAATATGGATGATTCTAGCAACATTAATTACCGAAATTGATTCAAGTTTCGTATTTAAAGATCTTAATTGGTACTTCAACCTATGACAAAAAATAAGTTATGCCGACCCACGTCTTCGTATAGCCCCTATATAACGGTATCTCACAACATTCTGTATTTTTATGAATTTAGATGCATTACAGAGAGGAATTGCTTTACATTTAATTTTTAAAGCTCCTAATTTTTAAAGCAGCCTATGACCGAAAATTGCATATGCAGGTCCACGTCTTCGTATATGTCTCATATAACGGTACGTCCATATATTCGTTATTTTGATGACTTAAGCGACATTATTCACCAGAATTGTATCAAATTTAGTGTCTAAAATTGGCATTGGGTACTACAGCCTATGACAAAAAAAAAAAATGGAATGGAACTACAAATAAATTTCCGAATTACAATAACAATATTTCGAATTACTTACGTTTTATTACTTTTTCTCTAAAGGACACTGTGCACCCTACTTTATGTGTTAAGAAAATGGCAATAAATGAAGTGTGTAAATGGGGACAATATGAACAAAGTAAAGGGTAAAATTTATATGCACTATATAATTGTATGTGTGTGTGGGCGTTTGTGTGATAGATTGTCGACCCCATAGTTATTCACAACCAACACTACATACTTCTGCATCAAAAGAATGTGCACTGTGCGGTTGGTTCTAAAGGTAAGCAACTTTTTTAGCTCCTCTAAAGTTTTTTCGCCCCTTTCAGTTGTTCCAAAGCAAAGGGAAAAAATGTAAGGACATTTAGTATAAATATATGTGTTCCCCACATGGGTGTATAGGTGTGTGTGTGTCAGTGTATGGGGAACTGACCTTGCCTGGGCTTCAATAGTTTACCGTTAATCGTTCTTATCGATAAAGGACCGCATTGGACAAAGAAATGTTACAGCTAAACATTAAAAAAGAGCTCACACACAAACACACTCACACATACGGACCAGTGGCCGCCACATGGAGCCAATTTCTTTATACCACGGAAATGGTAATGTACACCAAACTAAGAGGTAACTTAGTTGGCAGGGATTTTTTTCTATAAAACAATGTATATGGGGGTTTCTTCTGCTTCTCCCGCATAGTTGGCTAAACGAAGAATACGGCAAACGGAAGTCTGTTATTTATGGATTGTTACGAACAATACATTTTGTATATTTAATATAATATGTGTGGGGGGTAAAATGCAATACTTTTATTATAATTACACCCCCATCGAACAAAAAACAGAAATTCCATTCCAAAAATCCGTTTCAGAACATTTGGAGTCGATCTAGCGATGTCCGTCCGTTTGTCTGACTGGTTGGCTGGTGCGCACGATAATTGTCGAAGGGAGTATCCGATTTGGTACAAACTTGGTAGATCGTAATATTTTTGTCAAATTTTAGATTGAGTTCGCAAAAGGTCGAAATTTTCAAAAAATATATTTTTTGCAGAGAAAGTGAAAGGATAATCCGATTTTGCTCCAACTTTGCACATCATAATATTTGCGTTTGTGCTAGGTCAGGTGTGAAAATGGACAAGATCGGTCCACTCCTTCTGGTACCTCCCCACAAATAATTACAACTCTAATAAAATGTGATGTAAGTGTCCAATTGTCTTCTAAATTCACACATTCTAATATGTATATTAACACAAAGTCTGGTGTTAAGATGGAATCTATCGGTCGACTCCCTCTGGTACCTTCCCCACAAATGGTCGAAATTTTCAAAAAATATATATTTTTTTGCACAGATAGAGAAACGATAATCCGATTTTGCTTCAACTTTGCAAATCCTAATATTTGCGTCAGTGCTGAGTTAGGTGTGAAAATGGACAATATCGGCTCACTCCATCAAGTACCTCCCCCACAAATGGTCAACATTTTGAATAATTACAACTTTCATAAAATTTATGGTAAGATTCCGATTGCCTTCAAATTTCACACATACCAATATTTATATTAACCCAAGGTCTGGTGTTAAGATGGAATATATCGGTCCACTCCTTTTGGTACCTCCAACACAAAAAAATTTTCGAATATTTGGAGGTACATAAATAGGGGTGCTATACAAAAATGTGGTCCTGTTTAGGCAATTTTCTGTACCTGTAGTACTCATCACGAACCCCAAATACCCAATTTAAACCGATTCCGGTGAAAAGTTTGAGACAAATCATCAAAATACGGCATATCTGTAGGTACAGTTATATGGGTACGATACCAAAACTTATATTGACTTTTCTATGCTGTGATATTTTTAAGTAATAGGAATCCATACTGTCAATTTTCAGCAAAATGGTGACTTAACACCCAAAAAACTTTAAATCCGGTATTGTTATACGGGGCCCATCCCAAAAAAGTTCAGATAAAGCCATAGCTCCCATACTTATTTTTTATCCGATTTTTTGCTTAAGTCCCTCACATTCGTAATATTCACAATAATATTAGATACCAGATATTTCATACAGCTCAGAAATATATCTGTCGATCGTATGTGCAAAAAATCACTCCATTTAGGCGATATAAACCGTTTGGTGCAAAATATAACTGAAATCGGAAATAGATATATATGAGAGTTATATCCGAATGTGAACCGATATAAATGTGACCTATATTTTGTTCACAAAAATACGTGGACAGACATACGGACAGATCATCGTCAAAGGAACTATGGCCTTCCTTCACAAAGATATAATGCCCTGATCACAGAGTAGTGTAGGGTATGAAAAAAAGGTTCATAGTTGGTATGATCTGTTTCATCTAAATTCCCAATATAATTTATTTGTTACAGGTAGCTCCTCCAAAAATTTGCATAGTGTTGTCGAGTATCATAAAGTCGCGCCCGCCTGACTTTTAGCCTTTCTTTACAGGTTTGTACTGAAATCTTCCAAAAATTTCCCAAAGGAGGACGAGGAGAGCTAGTACGCTTGAAGTTGGAGGGGGATAATTTCTGGTATAAAGGGGCGATAAACTAAAATACCAAAATTCATTACATTCTAAAAATCTAATACTGGAGACTAAATTTCTTACCCGAAGGTCAAATTTTGACATGGGGTTTTGAATATTAAGACACAATATTTTACTGTTAGAGCTATAATCCTAAAGTTTACTGTGGGACAGTAAGTTTGGTATAATAATGAATGCGATGGAAATAAGCTAGATTTCTAACACACTTCATACGAATTGCCATATACCCGATTGTTCGTTTTTCTGAATTCCTATACACCTGTGTATTTTCAACTGTCAAGAACCAAATATTTGTGGGCATTTGTGCTAAAACTATTTTAATTTCGAATTCTTGTTACAATCATAATATTTTGGATACAGACTACTGTTAATTTAGGACATTGAACATTTATACTAAAAATTACTAAATACTGTACTTTCGAATACGGAATTTTGAATAATTTTTTATGTACTCACAAAATATACCTCTATAATTGTATTTTGAGTAATTCAAATGTTATTGGGAAAGATAAATGATAGTTTCAGAGTGATATTTGAAATTATGCTGTGTTCCGAAGTACCTATTATAAATGTAAGTTCACTAAGCAAAATTGGATTGTGAATATATCTTCATCTGTGCAAAAGTTGCAGAATCTTGACTTTTAGTTTACCAATCATAACTCCATAATTTGACTAGATATAACTTTGCATGGAACACCACCGGCCTGTTAAATTGTTAGTTTATTATGTTAAAGATCGCAATTAGATGGGGAATCATTTGTTGGGTTTGATTTAACATACTTCCTGACAAAAATCACCTATTCATGAACCCTTGACCTGTTGCTACCATGAAAAATTTCTTGACTTATGTGGATAGATATAGGAAACATACCACCATTTAAGTGTCAATAAAGAATAGTAAAGAGTTTAAAAACCCTAGTCAATATATAAGCAAATAGAGACAATAAATTATTGCAACACAGAAATCAGTATTGAAAGGCATAACATATGTGTAATTGCGGAAAGTTTTTTTTTTTAGTTTGAGGGGTGTTTTACTTCTTATGTGTCTTTCACAAATTATGCATAATGTTGCTATAAATCGCAGACCCTTCATATTATATAAACACTTAATACTTTTTTATTTCAAATATTTTAGGTCCCATAATCCTTAGTTTTCCCAAGTTTATAAAAAAAATATTATTGGAATATAGGGATGTACGTATAATTATTATTTTCTAGATTAGTTAATAGACACTAATAATAAATATATTATTCTTACATTAAACTATGACGTCATAACTTTCTTAAAATATGTTAAATTTTCTTATTCTTATATAAAAATCTTAATCTAAAACTTAACTACTATAAGTACTTGAATTTAAAATAACATTACAACATACCTGCATCTTTTTATCCAATACGAGATGGCAGCAATACCCACTAAAAGAATGGCTCCCAAAGCACACCAGAGAATATTCTGAAATGAGAACAAAAGATAAATTTAACAAAGCTACACTTTAGCATAGATTTTGTAAATTCCTAAATGTAAACGAGGATTTCTTGCTTTTTATTTATTTTACGTGAAAATAGATTATTCAAGTAAAAAAGTGGCCGGGTCGAAGTTTCGATGTCCTCTACCATAAGGTAATTAAAATACGTTTCATTCATCTTATACTCAATGATAAATATAATTCGAAATACCGTTAATACTAATTTTAAATCAAATACGTTTGAAGCCAAGGTTGAACCCATCAAAAACCTTTAATCATAATTCGATATGTGCCTATAATAATTATAATGATTTGTATGTGCCGATACATCCAATTTCAATCCCAAAAACTTGGAGACAAATTAGATATCTGGACCAATCCCTTCAATAGTTACGCTGATCAAGGAAATTAAATAACTACAAACTATAAAAGTACAAAGAAGTTTATCTCAAAACATTGTTTTTGTCATCGGGTTGATACTGTCCGTCCTCAAAATAACAATATTATTTCAAACATCTCTTAAAACAAAATATGTTTGAGAATATTTGGATGCGGCCTAAATATGTCGACCTGCCCCCCATCTCGATTGCCTGCAGCATGAAAAGTCTCGAAAGAAAAGTATTAAAGGTCTCATATTGAGCGAAGGGAGTATCCGTGAAAGTTTAAAATGTTTGATGGTATCAAATCAAATCTGGCCTGGTATATATTTGCGTAGAACTGAGCTTGAATAAATCAACATTACGGATAACAACAGGGTAACTAACAGGTCACTGCAACATTTGAAGAAGAATATCCAAATGGGATAACACTAACGTCGAATACTGCATAACTTCGCAAAAAGGCTATGCTGGCCTTGGAGCGAAGTATATATCTTCTCTATATCTATAATAGAGGAAAATGTTTGTATTTTTGTGCATTTGTAATTTATGGACACGAAAACCGCTGCACAGATTTTCCTGAAAATGTCCAGATATACTACAATATTGCCTGAAAGTATCAGAGATATTGCATCAGAATCGGAGGTACCTCCCAAAAATTTAGATTTTATATGCACATATCAATTGATCGATTGCAGATACAAAAAATAAATTTTCCAAAATATATTAAAATCGGTTCAGATTTGGATATAGTTCCCATAAACTTTTTTTTTACTGATTTCACATATTTGACGCACCAAACACAATACGATTCCATTAAAATTCGGAATGAGTGACTAAATTTGGTACAAAACTAAATTTGTTAAATTATATTGAAGCCGGTACAGATTTAGATATACCTCCCTTATATATTTTCGGTCGGTTTCACATATTTGATGCACCAATCACGATACGTATGTTCGATTCGAATGAAATTCGGCATGAGTGACTAAATTTGGTACAGAGATACATTTGTCAAATTATACTCAAATCGGTTCAGATTTGGATATAGCTCCCATATTCCAAACAAGAATTGCGAAATTATATTGAAATCGGAAATCGAATTCGGCCGATTTCATGTATGTTATGCACCAAACACAGTATGTATGTCCGATTACAATAATAATTTTAAAATTTAATTAGAAATAGTTATAGCTCCCATATATATTTTCTCATCCGATTTCCCATATTTGATGAACCAAACACGGTATGTACCTCCAATTTCAATGAAATATAGAAGGTGTGACGGAATTTTGTGTAAAAGTAAATTTTGTCAAATTATATTGACATCGGTTCAGACTGTGATATGATTTTTTTGTTAAGAAGCATTGACCTACAACGCCTTTGCAAAGGTATTAGGTTAATCGTAAAAAATACACAATAATTTAATTGAGTATACGATTATTACGCCGAAGTATGTTGCTACCTCGAATTCTCTAATTGCAACAGAAATGCCACTCAACTTCAAAAGTTTGCAGTTTCCTGCGCGGGAGATATAACTATATCTGAAGCGAAATTTATATATATAGATATATATATATATATATATATTATATATATATATATATATATATATATATATATATATATATATATATATATATATGTATATATATACATATATATATATATGTATATATACATATATATATATATATATATATATATATATATATATATATATATATATATATATATATATACAGACGGATATGTATAAATCGATTCGTTAGGTGATTGTATGAAGATAGAAATTTCGATTGTAATTTTTAAAAAACCTATTGTACCTAGATATATGGTATATTCTGAAGTTAATAGTGCAATTTTGTGCAGAATATTTCTTCTTTTGATACCAAACCATTAAAATGAAATTCAACTCGTCTTGTCGAAAAAAGCTCGAGGAAAAATTGAAAAAAAAATTAGTGTATGTTCTCAAGTTTTTTTGGGAACATTGATGCTAATATTTTTTTGATACACAATGTAAATAGAGATTTCTTTTCATTGGTGACTTATAGTAAAATTTGATGAAGAATATTTTTGTCGTCCGCGTCATCCTTTTAAAATCATGCTATATAAGTACGGCTTTAACCCTAAAATGTGTTTTGAGGGTATTCTAAGTTTTCATAATCTGCTGGATTTTCCTCATAATTTTTGAAAAAATTGAAATTTGTCGCACAACGAAACAAAATTCAATTATTTGCAAGCGTTGTTCGCTTATAAGACGGTTCATGCTTAAATTATACACCAAACTTAAGATGTCTGATAATGAAACAAAACACGAAACCTGTGTTAGCTGTAGCCAAAAAGTTAAAAGCTAGAATTCACCCTTTAATTCACTTCCAATATTTGGTGAATAATATTGAGTCGTTATATAGGGAATATACTATATCATGGACACATATCGACAACTCTCTTCCAGGGGGTAAAGTACTGAAAAGAAATTTCTGGTGTGGAATTTCAGACAATTCCATTGAAAAATGTGGCAAAAATCATGAAAATACCGAACATCGGAAGCTACCGTTATATGGGGGATACACGGTATGGTGGACCTATACGGACAATTCTCTTTTTTTGGGGGTAAAGTACTCAGAAGAAACTCCTTGTTTGGATTTTAAGACAAATCCATTGACAAACTTAGCTCCAATCATCAAAACACCGAATATCGGGAGCTGCGGTTATATGGGGGATATACGATATCATAGACAATTCTCTTCGAGGGGACAAACTACTCACAAAGAACTACTCACAAAGAACAAACTACTCACAAAGAACTCCTCCAAAGTTTTAGCTTCCTACCTAGATTTGTTTGGACTCTCGCGTGATTGCAGCAGACGAACAGACAGACGGAGGGACTGGACTAAATCGTCTTACATTTAAATATATTTTGTCAACCGTCAACAAAGTGGAGAATGATATTTCTTATCACTGAAAAACATATGAAATACACTATCCTTTCGTTTATATGCTTTCCTTGTTAACTTTATAATTTCATATCAGCATATCCGACCCTTCCACATCGATGAAGTTATAAAATACACAAGTCATAAATGGCTTATCATGAAATGAAAGCTTTATGACTTTGACATTTAAATTCAATTGAACCACAGAAAATAAAAAGACGAAATACCTGAGTGCCCACATATTACCTGCCAGCCTATTGCACGAAAGCTTCTAAAATAACAAATGCCTTTCTTGGAAAGGTAAAATACCCAAGAAAATTAATGGGAAAGCAAAACAAACAAGTCATAATTTCTAAGCTTAGACGTTTTTTTTTTTGTTAGGGGTAAAAATATGACATCAACTGTCATAACAAATCAAAATTTGATTGGTTCTATGCCAGGGCAATAATAACAAATACAAATGGAAGAAACTGTCGGAAAGGAAAAAGAAAACATTCCAAGTCAAAATTGCCGGTGGGTTGATGAAATAACCATTTCGACTCTGTGGTGGAGGCGAACTTGATAGTGCCAGTTGAACTGTTCGCCTATGACATTTCCACAATGTTGATGGTTGGGTTGGGGTTTGCTTACCGTTAGCATAACTTATGTAAATATTTTCATTATATACATATGTGAATATGTGTGGGTGCGTATATTTCACTGGATTTGGAAGGGAACCACTTTCTATTTCGTATGGAAAAATATTTATAAAAAATATAAAACATGTATATTTTGGTAGTGAATGTTTACGTATATAGGTAAACATAAATGAGAGGTGGCCCTCATGTTGTAGGGCTAATATTATTGGACATAATATAATATGAAATATATAAGACCAGACATGACTAATGTAAGAATTTCTGAGTTTCAAATAAAAATAAACTGGTAAAAATCAGTAAATTCTGCCCGCACTATTTGAAAACTTTGAAAAATGCTGTTAAAATCATAAAAATACCGAATATAAGGAGTAACCGTTATATTGGGGTCTACACGAAGGGAAGGACCAGCATAGGCAAATTTTGTCATAGACCATAACAATATTCAAACACGAATTTTGGAAAAATTTCGTCTATAATGTATATTTCGACGTGTTACAAACGGAATGACAAACTTAATATACCCTCCATTCCATGGTGAAGGGTATACAAATAATTACAAAATATGCCACATAAGTAAATAAATTATACTCAATACCAATAAAACCAATATTTAAAGTGATACTAAAATTGGAATTAAGCTCAAAAAAGTAAAAAAGCTGTAAGTTCGGCAGGGTCGAACTTTGAATACTCTCCAACATTTGAAACGAATTTGAAAATTTTGAAAAAACTAAAATCTTTTAAAAATCCTGTTAAAATCTTAAACAATACCGAATATAGCCTTTATATTGGGGTCCATAGGAAGACCTGGACCTGCAGAGACAACTTTTACCTGCAGAGGCAACTTAAGCTATTACAATATCCAAATACGAAACTTGAAAATAAATCCGGTGAATAATGTAGCTACAATCATAAAAATAGCGAATACAAGTAGGTACCGTTATATCGGAGCTATACGAAGAAGTGGGCCTGTATAG